AATACCACCATCTCCATACCATCGACAACACCGCTCCTTCCACACATGGCCAAACACCAATCTCCACAACAATCGACCAACCCGAGCACAACCCGAAGTCCCTATCCAATGACGCGTTGCCCAGTTCATTTTGGAGTCCCAATCAACTAGTGCAACAGGGGGAGCTTCCGGGAATACAACCTGCAGGATAAAATGAAAGAACGAACACCTTCCAAACAGATGAACTGAAATTACAAATTATATATTAGGACCATATCTTACGCGTCCCATTATCTTTGGTCAAAAATTAAATACACAAAGGACACTTAAACCTGAAATACCATGAGATAAGAAATTTAAGAGTAGTAGTTCGCATGCTTGCTAAACGAGCCTGTATGAATGGGTTGCTTGGCTTTAATGTTTGTTGTGGATTACACATTTACACTGACATATGTCTAGGTTAATATATGTTAGTCATAATGTTTCTAAAAAAAAAAAATGTTAGTCATAACTCATAACCAAAATAATAAAATATGTAGGGTAGTCACTTCCTTTTTAGATTTTTTTTCTTAATTGTTCATCATGCTTGATCACATTTATTACAAAAAACGAAATCATGTTTACTTATAGTACGAAATCATGTTCTCTTTTATGGTCTAAGGCATGATACGGCATGAGAATGATTATTTTTTTCTCATAATTTGTTTCATATAATATGATCGAGAACATGAGTTTAACACAAGGACAATGTTGTTATTAGACGAGCCATCGTATAAAAATGGAAATTTCTGGGCTCAAATTTGTTTAGCACTTTTTATTATTTAGTGGTATTATGACTATAGGTGTCAAAACATAGCCCGACCCGATTAACCCGCCCGATCAACCCGACTCGCAATCCGAATTGACTAAAAGTCAACAACCCGTAACCCGCCCGACCCGCAACCCGATTGACCCGCAACCCGACTAACCCGCAACCCGACTAACCCGCAACCCGATTAACCCGAACCCGATTGACCCGCAACCCGATTGACCCGCAACCCGATTAACCCGAACCCGACTGACCCGAACCCGACTAACCCGTAACCCATCCGACTCAATCCGAATTTCATCTAATCCACTTGAATAATTATAAAAATATACAATACATAGTTTTTTAAAATAAAGTTTTTCATTCTAAACTTAAGTAAAATTATTTTTTCATTTCGTATAAGAAATTTTAAAAATATGAAACTCACTTAATATTACATATTTTAAGAAAATTACAAAAATTGAAACATGAAGGTCACTTGAGATCATGACAATATTAATATAATATAAATTAAAATTTTGGTTAATTTAACTATTCAATAAAATTATCAATTAAATATAAATAAATTAAAGTAATGTATTTAATATTTTGATGTTTTTAAAAGAAGAGGAAATTTTTGGTGTACTCAAGTTTTTGGGAAGAGAAAGAAGAGGGAAATTTGGTTCTTTGAATTTTTTAGAAAAAAAACAAGTGGGAATTTTGGTGGTTTTGATATGTGGGAAGAGAAAAAAGTGAGAAAGTTTGATTCTTTTGATTATGAAAGAGAAATAAGGAGGGAAACTTTTGACTTTTCAACTTTTTGTAGAAGGAAAGAAAAGGGTAATTTGGTTCTTTCAATTTTATGGAAGAGAAAGAGGAGGAAAATTTGAGTTTTTCTAATGTATGGAAGGAGAAAGAAGGAGGGAATTTTTAGTATTTTTGTGAAAAGAAAGAAGGAAACAAATTTGGTGTTTTCAATTTTTTGGTTTTCATAATTTTAGGTTTTGAAATATGAATCTTTAACTTTTATATGGAGGGCATGACTAGTTAAAATTATTCTTATATGCTTTGAAGGCTAATATGTATATATGTATGTAATTTTTTATGGGCTAATAAATAAATTAACCATTAGTTACAACAATTTATACTAAACTTGATAAGTAATCTTTGACGGTTCGTTGTTTAGGATATAAAGTATATGGTTAGAGTATAAGGTACATATGGTTTAGGGTGTATATGGTTAGGGTATAAGATATTGATGGTTTTGACGGTTCTAAGTTTTTTATTAACATATGTTCACTTGAAGTCATTTGAAGTCATTAACGGCAGGAGATCCCTTTTTAATTTATGTTTATGGTACGTGGTTAGAGTACAAGGTATGTGGTGTAAAGTATAGGATATATGGTTAGGGTATAACAATTAGCAAATATCACTTTTTATCTATGTTTTGAAAATCAAAGTATGAATTTCACTTTTAAATTAACTATACTAGCAAAATCACAACTCAAGGACATATGGTTAGGGTATAGGTTATGTGGTTAGTGTATAATGTATTGATGGTTTAGGGTATACAATCTACAACATATACTAACTTAATATTGTTGATTGAGGGTAAAGCTAAGTGTATAGGATATATGCTATTGAGTAAGTTATGATTGAAGTCACAATAATTTTACTAAATATGATAGCTAATCTTTAATGGTTCAATTTTTAGGATAATTCGAACAATTTTACAAATAACTCGTTTGGCAACAGTTTACTAAAGTTATTTGGGCAATGAGTTATTTTGAAATAACTCCTTTTATCACTATGTTTTTGCCAAATACCACACGCCAAATACCAGATTTGCATAGTTATACTAAACGAGATACTTTAATCTAATTACTACTAAATTAATACTAAAATATCAAATAAACAATTAACGGTGTCTTTTGGTTGCAAATATTGATATCACCATTACTATTAGCTATAATACTTTACCAATTATGATTAATTACATAACAAGTTTGCAAGTCATACAAATTGATTTCACATTTTGACTAGTTTTTTTCAAAAAAATAAAGTATATATATACGAGGTAGAAATAAATTGGTTAAAAAGTTGAGAAAATATTTTAAATTAGTGTAATAAAATGTGTAAGTTGGTAATGAATAATGAGTTAAGTTAGTTGATGCGCTGGCCCGAACAACCCGAAACCCGACCCGCTCGCAACCTGCCCGACCCAAAACCCGAAGAACCCGCAACCCGATTGAATCCGAACCCGATGAACCCGCAACCCGACTAACCCGCAACCCGTTTGAACCCGAACCCGATGAACCCGCAAGCCGACTAACCCGCAACCCGTTTGAACCCGAACCCGATTGAACCCAGCCCGAACCCGCCTGATTGACACCTATAATTATGACATTGATTAGGGTAGTTAGCACCGTCCTAACCAAAGGGAAAAACTACTACTAGTTTGAATTAGTAGTGATTTAGCTTAGATGTTGTATTGATTTTATAATAATCCGTAGTGATTTCGTTATTTTTAGTAGCGTTTTTGCTAGTTATCACGGTGCTAACCCCTTTAAGGGTTAGCACCTAATCCCATCCCTGATTAGAAATATTAACAATTACTATAGGGTTATAGGTATTATATGTCCCTCTACTATGATGTTTTATCAAACATGCCCCTTTACTATTTTTTACATCAAACATACCCCTGTACTTTGTAAAAATTATCAAACATACACTTTTGTTAAAATTTTCATCCAAAAACCGTTAACCAATGCCAAACTTTGGTTTGGGCGACACAAATGTCTAAAATATCCCTAATAATTTCACTTTAGAATTTTTTTGGTTCTTTTGTATAGCCAAATAATTTCACTTTGAGGAGACACAGAGAAATAAAACGGGGGGCAAAACTGATATTTTCCCTCCCATTTGCCGATGTCGGGTCGTCTAAATCTCGGTTCAACCATGATTGACGATTTTTTCAATGGAAATTTTAGCATAAGGGCATGTTTGATAATTTCGTCAAAGCGCAGGGGCATGTTTGATTTAAAAAATAATAAAGGGGCATGTTTGATACAACGTCATAGTAGAGGGGCATATTATACCTATAACCCATTACTATATGAACTTTGATAGTGCTGGAGAATCAGCGCCCTAAAGTTTGAGAGCTGCAACCTCTTTCATATGTATACTAGGTGGCGATACCGCGCCTTGTCGTGGGGAGGAGATGGCCTATCGACATGTATTATGTAACCCATTATGGTGTTTTGTTAGTATTATTAGCCTAAAATTAATTTTTTGTTAGCAGTTTTGTTAATAATATTGACTTGACAATATGATATCGAATGAGAAAATATATATGACAGTCAACATCCAATTTCAAATATTTTGAAATTTTGGGCTAATAAACTACATTTACCTAAATCCAAGTAGACCCATTGATTATGGGTAGGGTATGGGCAACTTATATATGAGTTTGGAAGTTGTAGATGAGTTTGGGTAGGGTATGGATATTTACTTCCATAATATAAATGTGTATGAGTTAGGTGTGGTCGTGTGGATACCCATTTATTCGAAGGTGTTTTAATTACATATAAAAATTAGAATTATTTGTAGAACTTCAAAATTTTAGGTACTAAAATGTATTGTTCCATCAATATTTTGATTTTTGAGGGCTTGTATGCTAAAATAAATAAATTTAGGCTATAAATCTATGATCTATTAAGTTTAGGTACCGAACTATAATTTGCATAGTTGAGACTTAATTCCTTTTATGGTGATGTATTTAAGATGATAATTATTTATTTTTTTTTTAGAAAATTTGAAACTATTTATTTGATATGTGTAGGTACCTAGCCAAACATATAGAGAAGCAAAATGAATGCAAAAGGGAACTCGCTTAAAATTTCACGCATTCAAATCCCATAGTGGACAATGATGACTTCCTATTAAGTAATAGTCATATATCTTTATTTTTAATTGGACTCGACATTGAGCTGGAAAAAGTTAACGGTTCATGGTTCAATTACTAATTAGGGTTAGACGAAGAAGGTAAAAAAAGAAATAAAGAAAGGGTTATGGAAGGCGAGTGAAAAATGAAATGAAGAGGAGTAGATGATGAAAATGTTGGGTCATTTTTATAATTATATTAACTTTTAACTTATAATTTTTATTACTGTTGACTTTTTTAAACATTGTTCTACTAAAATGTCATACAAAAACTTAGTACATATCAATGTCTTAATGTACTCGTATTATATTTTACTAAATATGTTGTCACATCATCGAATAGAATGTTCTTTTAAAAATGATAATTATGATTTCAAATGGATATCATACATGTTAATTTGAAGTAAAAATATCATCAAAGATCAAAATGGTCGAATCTTCTCATAGAGTTGAGTGATACAACATCTTGTATGGTACAAACTAAAATGTTAATTTTATGTTACAGTGGATTGGATTCATGAATTGGTTGATTGGATTTATGGATTCAAGTGAAATGTAAACATTGGACCAATATGTAAATTTTTAAAATTATATGTACGAAAATCTCATAAAGTTTAGACTAAAACATAATTGTTCAATGATTTTACTTAAAATTAAATTTGGGGTATCAAAATATAAAATATACATTATAGTGACTAAGTTGAATTTAATTAAATTTGGAGTATCAAAATGAAGTTATTTTGACAACAGTAACCTCACTTCACGTTTATATATATTAATTATTGAGTTAGGCTTAATCGGAAACACGAAACTAGGGTTGCAAATGAGTAGAATCTAGTTTTTCTAAACTTGAGCTTGGCTCATCAAGAAACGAGTCAATCTCGTGCTTAGCTCATTAAGGAGCTCATGAGCTTAACTCGAGCTCGCTCGGCTCATCAATAAGCTCACGAGCCTAGCTCATTTATAAGTTTAAATGACTTAATCTAAAATTAAGTCTAAATAATTTATAACTTGAATACCGTAACATTTTTATGTTATATATGATGCATGTGTGGTTAATAAAAAAAGAATAATAGTTAATTTTTCACTCGTGTTTAACTGTTTATATACTATGTTGGTGTAATATAATCTAGTTCGTAATTTTAACCAATTCCTTTTGATGAGAATATACCTACAATGTACTCAAAATCTTAAATCAAGTTATGTGGCGAACTAGTAATTGTAAAGCAACATGGCAACTACTTCGAGCTCTGATAACTATATGATCAAGTTGGCTCGTGATCGCTATAGAATTCAGTTGGAGAGCTAAACTCAACGAGTCACAAAGTCGATCTAAGTTCGCGAAAACTTTAAACCAGCTTTCAAGTTGAACTTAACAAGCATCTGAGTTAAACTAATTCGCGAGTCTGAAAATCGAGAGGCTTTATTCATTTACCTTCTTAGTTATATTATGGCGTCCTTATATTTGAATATACCATATATTATATATGTATGCTCCACTTGCGTACATCCTATTTTATTAGTACTGTGTACATACTATATTCATGTGTATCTTTCTATCATGAGTGTTAATTATGTGGATATGTGGGAGAAAAATAATCTCCCTTTCTAATAGCAGGGTAAAGCCTAATCATTACCTCGAGCTAATTATGAAAAAGGTCATGATCATATTATTAGGATAAAAGGCTTGAATCATTACCTCGGATTTGTTACCAGCAAAAGCGGGCTCTCTATTCAATGACTTCGTTTGAGAAATTGTGATTTCAGATGATGTATTTTGACAATACATATAATTAAGAGAATTTGTCATTTGTTGTAAACAAAATACATATATTTGAGCAGAAACTGAGCACATCAGAATCACTCATTATGGATTATTGTCAATTACTCATTTTTGTTTCTTAGTTTTTTGCGGGACTACCAAAATTATTCAACATCTAAATAATATATTTTTTAAATTCATACATTGACACTATATATCAAATTACAATATACAAATTGATTCAATACTTTAATTTGGATAATCTCAACTTTCCAAATGATTTGGACCTCAAATCCATGGATGATATTATGACTGGTTTTGAAATGTTTTCATACAATGACAAAGCAGTGGGTGGAGGAACTTCTCGAAATCAACATGGCAAAAGTTTGTGATAGGTCGGGCGGAACTTCTTGGAAGCAGTGATGTGGAGGATGGGTTTCGCTAAACGCTCGATAGTGAAATTTGTACAATTATGTTATGGTACAACTTTAAGATCTGATTCACCAGGGGAACCCGATTTGATTCACCAGGGGAACCTGGGAAGGATTCCCCTGGGGTGGGTGGTGTTCGCCTTCCATCTCGTACTCTTCCTCAGAATCGCTGCTCAAGTGGCCGTCTATGCGCTCCTCCGTAGCCAGTCTAGCTTGCTGTTGTCTCCTAAGTTGGCGACATGTGCGTTCAAGCTCCGGATCCAACGACAGTAAACCTCCCGACTGGCTACGGGTCATGCACTACCTGCACACAGTCAAGCAAGCAAACCTGTGAAGGCACAAGTGTGCCAAAGCAAACAATGCTAAAACGAAAAGCTAAATTAACAGAATTCACGTTTCTTCAACAACCTAGCCGTCCCCGGCAACGGCGCCAAAAACTTGACTCGCTCCTACTGTCACTCTAGAAAATGGCCAAGTGTAACCACCTCCTAAAGCGTAGTATAGCGGTTTGGGTTTTAATGTCAACCCGGATCCTAGATGTGATGACTACTCCGTGAGTTATTATTTAGCAGTGAACTTTTAGTGAAGGTCCAAACAAGCAAACAAACAAAGCAAGTAAAAAGGTTGTTTCCAAGTCGAGAGAGGTCACCCGGATATGGTTCCCCCCTAGACTGCAGTTAAGCCGGATTGTAATTTACCAAGTTCAGGTTCAATGATAGTTATACTGCGGGAGGTTCTTAAAAAGTGTGAAGTCTCGACTAAAGGTCTCCAAACCCTCTCAATTTGAGTCTTCAGCGGGCGACTAACCTCAACTACCGAAGTAAATTTGGTACAGAATAGTGAATTGACTCCTCGGCTAAAGTCGCCAATTCACTACCTTCAATCAAGGGTGCTCTATCAACCTAGGCAGATATTCTCTTTCTAGGTTAAAGCAGAAACAACAGGAATTTGATCAGGATTCATGCCATTCAACAAATCAAACCTCAATTGAACATAATCATACCAATGAATCTGTACTTGGGTTCATACAATCAGACCTAACATACAAATCTAGAGTTCTTCATACCCAGGTGAATAAGAAAACTACTCCATAGAGAGAGATGGAAAATCTAGCTCAGATGCGGAAACCATACTGCGAAGGATAGGAATTTGCTTCTGGCACTCAATCAGGTCTTCTCCAAGCTCAAGCCGGGCTCCAATGGTGATGGAGATCGATCTATGACACTTGCAGAGTCAGGTTCGTTACTTTATCTCTCTAGGTATCGCCTTTTCTCTCTAAAACTTGGAACACTTCACTTTTGGCCTTCTTTTCCCTTAAAAAGCTGTCTGTCGCGATCCCCGGTCGGGTATTTTGGGTGGAGACCGGGTATATTCAAAACGTCGCGTCTGAAGATAGGGAAAAATCCCCGGTCAATGCCAAGAATCCCCGACCGGGGATTTCTGCTCTCTGCCTGGGCCCCCTTCTGCTTCTCAGAGACGCCCGAAGCAACAAATCCCCGGTCTGCTCCAAATAATACCCGGCCGGGTATTTCTGCTCATGGTTGGGTATTTTGCTCCTCCAGCACACTTCACCCCAAACGTGCTCCTTTCGACCCGAAACTCGTTTCTTCGCCTCGATGCCAACGCTAAGCCCTGAAATATGACATACGCACAACCTAGCGTGAAATCGGCTTAAAACACAAGAATCAACATCTCAAACGGCTCAAGAATAGGGGTAAAAACATGTGTAATTAATAGTCTACCACATTAAAACGTTGTCGTTTGAGGAGGGAGCAGACATAACAAGTTTTTGGTTGAAATCGGATTGGACCGGATCTAATCCAGTATGGTCAAGGTTGAAACCGGATCCCTATCCAATCCAGTTTTCGGTTGCTGATTTAGCCAAAACGGTTTCAAAAAACTGGGTTAATCCGGTCCAGTTTAGCCGACCAAACCTTTTCCCACCCCTAATCGAAACCCTATATGTGTATGATACGCTAAAATACAACACCAAACTACGACCAAGTATAATCACAGAATGGAAATGCAAAATAGTGGGTAAGTTTAATTTATCAACCCAGGGTCTAGATCTAATGCCTACTCCGTGAACTTCTATTATCTAGCAAAACTAATTGAGTGAAATGTGAGTTTAAACCAAAGCAGATAGAAAAGAGTAAATTTTTCTAGTTTTCTAAAGCAAGAGAAGAGTCACTAGGGGATGAGTCCCCCTAGCTCCTTAATTAGCTTCAAGTTGTAATTCCCTTCGTTTGATTTACTGTTGATTAAACTGCGGAAGATCCAAAATTAGCTTGGATTCTAACAACCTGTTCAGATTCTATTTATCACAGGTTGAAGCAAAAATCAAGAGAAGTTGATCAGGATTCAATTGACTCAATAAACACATTTAAATTGATTAAAATCAATCAGTATATCATCCCAAAAGTCATTACAATCAAGATCACTAACACACGGAACTAGGGTTCTTCATACCCAAGTGAGAGAAAGGTCTACTCCATATATATATATATATAGAGAGAGAGAGAGAGAGAGAGGAAAACATAAATCAAAGTAGTCATACTCATAAAGATGAGAATAATCTGCTATGGGATGTCAATCTTCACTCCTGGGGACGCAATCTGGGCTTCAATGGTGAGAAATGCACTCCATATAGCTCTTAGGGTTTGTTCTTTGCCCTTTCTCTCTCAAGAAATCGGATCCCTCCTTTAAAACCAGAAATTGGGTTAAAAACAGTTCTCCCAGATTACACGGCCAGTGCACACGACCGTGCAAAACTCCATCCTGCCCGTGTAAACCCCCAAAATGCGGCGTTGCACTTAATTGGTCGAGGGGATAACACGGCCGTGTAAAAATAGGCCTTGCCCGTACAAATCTCTAGAAAACTCACACGGCTAGAGGTGCCCTTGCACAGCTTGTACAACTCCTATCCACGTAAAACCATTCACACGGCCACACTGCACGGCCGTGTGAAACCAGCTCTTGCCCGTGTAAATGCCTCTGCTTTCTGTCGCACGTCCTAACTTTGTCCAATCAACCCCGAACTTGTGCCCAAACCTTCATTCACGTACTAGGACCTGAAATATCACTAACAAGAGCAACCTAGCGTGAAATCTGTTTAAAGCACATGAAATGAGCCTCAAACAGTATAAGAATAGTGGACAAAATATATGCAAATATCGAGTCATCAAATCCCCCCCCCCCACACTTAACTGTTTGCTTGTACCCAAGCAAACCGAGTTAGATACCATAAAAGCTTTATCATAATTTCTAGTCAAAACACTTTTGGGGACATGACATATGGCACAATCATACTGATCTCAACAGACAAATAACACCAATACATGAACAACAACAACATCAACCGCAATGACCATTCAGATGACAACCGACCACAGTCAACCATGCATAGAGTTCAAGTCACCAGAATAGAAGACAGAGCAATCAAGGTCCTCGCCGGGATATAGAATATGAGAAACTAAATCGCTCACTCTTGACCAGTGGGATCAGGACAATTTGATGCGACAGACACCTTGTATCGATGGGCTTCTTGCTACAAGGACTTTTCCAGACGAGGAACTCTCTTTGATCCTCCAAGCCCAAACGTGGATCTCTTGTGGATCCACCAAACCTGACGCAGATTTCAAATCCCGAGGTCACCGAATGTGGGTCCACCGAACTGACGTCCACCACCCCGGATCCGACGAACTAGGCTCTAATACCACTTGTCAAACAAGGTTGCTCAATTATTATGATATTTTCCGCTTTGGGCCAAGCCCGCACAGGTTTACTCTTGGGTGTCCTCCCCAAAAGGCCTTGTACTAATTGGGATAGGTGGACACTAATATACAAGGGTTCCTTCCCTTGTATTACCGATGTGATACTTGGATTGTACCTTAACAATCCTCCCCTCAAGACAAGGACCACAAATTTCAGGTCCTCTCCTCAGCGATTATCTTGATCCGCCGAATGCCTTGTATCGATGGGCTTCTCGGTACAAGGAATTTACCAGACGCATAACTCTCTTTGATCTGCTTCCCCAATGCGAAACTCTCTTTGATCCTTCAAGCCCAAACGCGGATCTCTTCTGGATCCACCAAACCAAACGCAGATCTCAAATCCGGAGGTCACCAAATGAGGGTCCCACTAAACTAACGTCCACCGCCCTGGATGCGAACCAGGATCTGATACCACTTGTCATAAATGGGCAGCCCATTAGTATGATATTGTCCTCTTTGGGCCAAGCCCACAGGAATTTACTTTTTGGATGTCCTCCCCAAAAGGCCTCATACTAATGAGCTTGGTGGATACTAATATACAAGAGTTCCTTCCCTTGTATTACCGATGTGGTACTTGGATTGTCCTCATAACACTTATTCTCTCAATCCTAACATCTCTTCACCATGATGGTAGCCTCTAAGTGCTAGAACTCACAAATAGGGTATCACCACCAACTAGTAAGGAGGTCTTAGACACAGGTTCAGATGACTGGCTATTGTCTTGGATATGGGAAAATGCCTTTAAGGTGGTGGAAGAATTCATACACAAGGTTCCACAGTTCCAAACCCAGCACATCGACAATCAACCAAACCAGTTACTTGCTTCCTCTACTATTTTGCATTAATCAAATTCTTTAGAGCACACAAGTGAAGGAGGTACCAATACGTAAGTATTTCTAAGCCAGTTTGCTAAGAAACACAGTTAATGAGCATGATTAAGATATCCATGGTGGTTCCCTTCTATTTCCATTCAATTTTTTTTTTCATATTTTCCATGGGGGAACCACCTCTTTTTCAGATTTTTTTATCTTTGCAAACTCATGCCCAAATTTTAAGAACTACCTCCAACCCTTATCTTATTTCCAGCAGAAATAGCAGAACACATGCAAAAACCACTATGTGTAACTTCTACGAGATGCAAAAAGGGTGAATTTTCATTGTAGACACGAAGAAAGAAAGGCACACGACTCAAATGGGCTGACTAGGGGGTATAACAAACCAAGACAGTCAATTTGGTCATGGGCTAATCCTAGGGGTGGCTATTTGGACCGGGACCGGATTAAAAACCGGAAACCGGACCGTATAACCCGGACCGAGACTGGACCCGATAGTAAACAATCCAATTCAATCTTTGGGCTTAGATTTGAGGTAAAAAACCGGATAAGAGAGCTCAACACCCAAAACTTAAGGGTAATTTGCATAAACGGTCATAAACCTTTGCACTTAGTACAAAACTTAACCAACTCCTCACCCTTTAAGGCCTTAGGCCACTCAAATCCTACAATCTCAATGTAAAATCAAGATCGAATTGGGACCGGACCGGTCAAAACTGGACCGGATCAAGACCGGACTGTATCCAATCCAATCTTCGGTCCTTATATTTTCAAAAAGACCGGACTGGACCGGATCAATTTGGGCCAATTTAACCGGACCGGACCGTATAGCCACCCCTGGCTAATCCTATGACTCCATCATCCTAACTAGTGGCAACGTGAAAGCTACACATCATGGAAGAGGGATCTATCGTACAAGAAAGAAACGAGCAGGCTAAAGCCTCACATGGTTACCTTTATGTTCTATATCTCATTCTGATTCCTTGAACTAAGTGCATAGACAATTGTAGACGGCGAGTAAACAATCCATGTGACAAGTTGGTTTGCAAACAAAATACAGACTGAACCCCTACACAATTCTACTGCATTTCTTAGTCATCATCACAGTCATCTCGGTCACAAACAAGCCATTCGTGTATCAATACTAACCATTATCAGATATTGCAAAAACAAACCAGTGCCAATATGCTCATGCATGAAAAGCATTGCTTGGAGCTCTCAAATGTTTACTTGGCACGCCCAATAAACACAAGACACCCCGTACACTTAAGTGCAACATTGCCCTCAATGGAGCAGAGGGGAAAATAGTATGAAAAATGATGTTACGGGGGGGGGGGGGGGGGGGGGGGGGGGGGGGGGAAGAGGAGGCAGAGATTGGACGAGGACCAGTCATCAGGCACACGATACTAGAGGAGGGACTAGTCACTGCAAGGGTGGGTCACAGAAAAGAACCACTTGAAAACTGTTTGTTAGGTAAAGTTGTCTGCCCAAATGCCCACAAAATGAAAATCCAAAAGAAACACAGCCACACAAAATGAATCAGTCCATGCTCCGCATACACATGGAGCAAACAAAAATGTAAAAACACACAAACGCACTAAAGGGGCCGACGAGTACAACCTACTCGTTGGCGGGGATGTCGAAGGTAATGTCCGCCATGAAAGCATTGTTGACTCCCACAAAACTACACCACAAATTAATCCAGACTAGAGTCCAAGTTTTTAAACTCTAGCCGTGTGGAGTATAGAGCAAGTATTTAAATAGTCAACCAGGGCCGATCAATGTACCCCTACTTCGATCGCTTAGGTTGTTATCTAGCAAGCGAATTTTGGGTTTATAACTAATGGAACTACAAACTAAACAAGCAAGGAAAAGTAAATAAAGGAAAAGTCTAAATAAGGGAGCTTCACCTAGGAGTTGCTTCCCCCTAACTAGCTACCATGACTCGTTGCATTGAATGGAGTCGTGTGGCATAGGTGGTTGTGAACCACGGGGGTGAGCAACTAGTGATCAATCTGTCACGAAATCAATTCACTAGCGATCGATTTGTCACGGGATCGATCCACTCACCAAGTCTAGGGGAACCGCTAGGGGGAGCAACTAGTGATCCATTTGTCACGGGATGGATTAGCTAGAGATCGATTTGTCACGGGATCTATCCTCTCACTCAGCCTCTAGTGGTTGCCTAGGTCTCTCCCTCAAATCGGAGTTTGAGCAGCTTAATCACAGCCAACCTAGATGCAAACTGGTAACCGCGAACCGCAGAGGGATGCATATATGGTCGGAGACCAAAATCTCAATTGCTAAACCGAGGTGAGCATGAAAGGCCGTGTCACTCGACCCTCTCGGTTTAAACAATCGGTAATTGACTTACTCCCTCACTCAACTCAAGGTTGGACAGCTTAATCACGCTTAACCAATTTTCTTAATTCAACATTGAGGTTTGCCCTAAATTAACCTAGGTTAAAGTGGCTAAGCACCAAAATGCACAACCTTAAGGATGCTAAGCACAAAACATGCACAACCCTTAGATTGCTAAGCACAAGCATGCACGATTAACATGAATAATACCTCAATCATTGAGTTAAACAATACCCAATGACAATCATTCACTCTAAACAAGCAATTACAAAGTATTAGTTAGGGATCTATAACACCCATGAGAAAAGAGTGAGTTTCTAGAGAGAGAGAGAGAGAGGGATTACAAATTTGAGCTCAAGATCTTCTTATTCTTCTTCTAGGCTTGAATCTTCCACCCAAGTATCCAATGATGCTCTAAGATCACTCTAGCACTATCTCTCTCTCTCTCTCTCTCTCACTAGAACTCCCCTTTGGTGTTTTAGGTTGAAACCCTAGAGAAAGTAAGTGTTTCTTCTCCAAAAACCAGCTCCCCCTTCTCCTTCAGCTCCCATCTCCTTTTATACCTAAATCAGGCTTAGTTCAAGGTCTTAGAGCTGAGTTCAAGGACGCGTTGATCAGTTCACGATCTTAGTTCAAGGACGCGTTGAGCAGTTCACGGTCTTAAACCTCAGTTCACGGTCGTGAACATTGGAACGCGTCCGTGAACTTAGTGATGAGACCAAAACACACCGCTTCATATCCACGGTTCACAGTTTGTGCTTAGAGTTCACGGTCTTAGCGACCGTGAACTCACTCAGCGTCGTAAACCTTCAGATTCGCCTTGGACGCTTTGCGGTTCACAGATTTTGGCTCCATTTCACGGTCCTATAAGACCTTGAACTCCAATGGCAGACCTTGAACACAGTCTCTTTCCTTCTTTTTGCTCATTTTCTTCCAATTTTGGACTCCGGGGTTGGTTTCACCTTCTGGATCCCGAAACACACTAAAACACAAGAAACCTAGCGTAAAGCCACCCCTTTTTGGAGCTCAATTGCAACAAACGCCAAAGAGAAACGGGGACAAAAAGTGTACAATTAGGCCCGAATCACTCGTCACTGGGCTACGGGGGTGGGAGTGGTGAGGCATCCCATGGAGTCTGCCAAGTGGGTGGCACGCCTCGGACCTGCTCGAGCAAGTAGTTCTGGACCTCCTACATCCGGCGAGCCCGGCTCTGCTCACGCTCAATATGAGCAAGGGTGACACCTTGTTGAGTCTCCATGCGATCCAAGCGCTCGTCATACACAGTCATACGGGCGGCATACTCAGCCTGATGGCTCGCATACTACTGTTGGAACTAGAGTTGATGATTGAGGATCTGCTGGTTCTGGGAATGCAGCTGCTGGAACTGGTGGCCAATCTGCTCAAACTGGCGGGAAAAGTACTCCTGAGACGGAACAGAGGAGCTTCCACCCCCATGCTCATAGGTGCTATGCTAGAAGATCTAGTGGCCAGCAGCAACGTCCACATCCTCAAGCTCAACATCTTCCAGCAGGGTTAGGGATGGCCAGGACAAGCAGGCCCTAGACCCACTTGACACCCCGAGACTCCCAGAGCAGATGCATCTTGAAGACGGTCTCCTTTTTGAAAGTCGTAGACTTCCCCTTAATTGTGCAGTCCTGGTAATCGATTGTAGGAATTTGGCCAGGTGAGTAATGAGTGGTGTGCAGTGGAGAGTGGCCAGGGTAGAAGTAATCTTTGCAATAGTCTTTTCCATGACAGAGCCCAAGTGGAGGGGATGGTCCGCGGTGCTCCGAGAGTGCATGAAGTATAGAGACCACTTGGTGAGACTGCTGGCAGACTTGCTACTGGGAGCGTAGGACTTGGAGAGCAGGTGATGGAGGAGACGATACTCGATCCTAAGAGTGATGGTCTTCGTCCGGCCGACAATGAAATCGTAGTCAGCAGTGTGGTATTGCGGGTTAGCCATCCTTCGGTAGACCCTGGAATTGGACACCCGACGGACTGGCCACCTCCATGTTGAAGTCATCTTGATCTTTCAGAACCAGGTTGAAGGCAAGGGAAAACTCGTGATAGCTCATGGAGTGGTACTCCCCTTCCAACCGGAACTTGATCATACTATCCGCCGTGTACTACTCGGTCTCGGTATGCTCGAAGGCGGAGTAAAATTAGATCAACAGCTCATGGTAGACCTTCCTGTGGATGGACAACATCTAGCACCAAGGCCAGTGGCGAACAACAGCTACAAGGGAGTCGTAGCAGTTGAGAGCCTACAACGATCTCTTGTTCCAGTGGTGGTGCTTGCCGCATGAGGCCTTCAACACCCGCTTGTACTTGTCCTTGTGCAGTCCATACTTCAGATCTTGAATGAACTAATGCTTGATTTTGGGATTGGACATGATCCTGCAACAAAACAAACCATCATGGTGCCAAGAAAACAGGCAGGTGAAGGTTAGAACACCCCCACACGTGAATTCACCCAAAACAGAATCATGTTGCCAGTCAAAGTTCACAAAGGAAAAACTCAAACAAGGAAGCACAGTCAAGAGGGTGGTGTCTCCAAACATGAAAATAGGTAACACAATCTTCGGAACCATACCAAGAACCCACTCATAGCATGTTATTAAGGCCACCAAATAGCTCTCGCAAAAGGGTATGAAAAATAGGCATTTCATCGAACACCTTGTGGATATGAAGAAGATAAACATGAAAAATGCACCTTACAAGGGTCCGATTGATCAAGAAACACAATCCGCAATATGCCAATTAATCAATCCTAGCCTTTCCCTCAATCAACTTCTACCAAAGCATGCATTCAATTCGATTCTCTACCGAAACACCCTACCACCCAATTCTCCAAAATTCACAAGGCAAAAGGAAAAATAAAACCTGGAGACTCAAGTAGAAGTTTAGGGGAAGGAAAGAGAAGCAATGGATCGCCAAATTTTTCCCGGAATTGCTCGTCGGAGCCCTGTCAGAGTCCCGCCAGAATCGCCTCCGGCGACCCAAAACCCACGCAAAGCACCTGAAACCGAGGGGATAGGCCGGCGAGGTAAAGGAAGGAGTGCGTCAGAGGTCAATTTCACAAAAAATGACCCCAAATGGCCAAATAATTGTCGAAGAGATCGAGGAGGGGTGGTTTTCCCGCGGGGGGGGGGGGGGGGGGGATTGCGGTGAGGTTTGGGCAAAATTGGGCCTGCACGGCCGTGCACAGTCTTTTTATAGGCGTCCGTGCAACCTACACGGGCACAAAGCACAGCCGTGTGATTTCAAATTCTAGGTGTGTACGACCTGGCCGAGAGACTCGCACGGCCGTACCCAGTTCCGTTTAAAGAACAAAGTCCATCCCATATCCCAAACTCTTAATGGTTAACGGGTACCCGTTACCCGTACGGGACGGATAGCGGGTACCCGTAAATACCCGTTTAATACATGGAAAAAATAACATGTTGTACACCAAAAATCTCCTAACCATAAAAAAAATCCATTCATAGTTGATGTCCACAACAATAGCAATTGGGTAATAAGAACCTAGTCTCAACCATTCCCCACAAATGAAAAAAGCCCATTGTCCATAATAA